AAATAAAAATATCGACTCTCTACCTTAGGTACCTACCTAGGTAACCAATGACTCCTCGCACGGTCGGTATCCTGAGGGCCAAGGGAATATGAGGTCTGAGCTTGTGCCGAGTCTGTCAGTTGTATATAAGCAGTGCTACAGTGCCAGATCCAAGTCTCAACCCCAGACCGCACCGTGTCCTTGTCCGGTTCCGAGTTGGAACTTTGGAACTTCCCTAAGAAGGCACTAAAAACAAATCTCACGTATCATGGCAACCGATATTATCCCCAGCATCTGCTATCGCCATTATCGCTAGCTTAACATGCCGACCTTGTCGATATGGCAACACTCTTCTCTTGTCTTTTTTTTTTTTCCCTTCTTACACACGTAACGTATCCAACAAGCCCACCCGCCGTCGTATCTTCAGCCGAGCGAGAGTGACATGATCTGGAGCCCACTTGGCCTGGCACAATGAAGATACGTTTGTTTATATCCTTGAGCTTGGTCTCTTGGTCAGTCCCATAAAGACTAGGCTGCTAGAGAAATAACTAAATAAAATGCGGCTTGTGTTGACACCGTTCGATACCAAGCAAGCGTTTTCCCCCTCGAACCTCATCTCGTCTGCCTTTTACATCAACAAATACATACACACATACCATGTAATCAAGACCCCTCTCGCATACAGGCGGGTGATGCTAAATAGACGGTTGGCTGGTCAAGGGGGGCTTACAGAAAAATACGACATGGCACCCGTAAGAATTCGAAAAGAAAGAAAATTAAGTTTAAAAAAAAAAAAGGGAACCCCTAAACTTTCCGCCAGCAACTAGGTAACGCTGTCGTCGAACGAAATACTTCCGGGGGCGCAGACGGCAAATATTGCCACTTACTGCCATTGGCACAGTACTAAAACAGACTCGGCTTTCTCCCCCCCAAATCTGCCTCACCTCGAGTCTTTTCCTCTTATTGCTATCTGCCGCCTTATGCATCTCTTGCAGCACTAGCTTTCCCCTCACCTCAGTACGACCCGGCCGCCAGCCTAGCATCTGCATTGCTATCACAAAATTTCTTGCTTGCAGCCTCATCAGTCTTCGACCTGTTGAACTAGTCGACGACCGAGTCTCTAACCTTTTGGTCGGCTGCTGGTAGCCGTTGGTCCCTCTGCTAGGAGGTTAGGAGGAAGAGATAGAATTCTCCCTATAACCCTTTTTTTTAACCCAATAACAGCCTACCACTTTGAAGAGATGTGCCTCTTTCAATTTCAGTCAAAGCCCCCCCAGGAATTTTCGGCTCCTCCTTGTTGGAGCAAGCCGAAGATCCAACCGTCAGCAAGTTAAAACCCGTTCAGTCCCGGTACGATCCCGTAGAAGCAACGTCCTCGCCGCTCTCGTTGGCCGTGGCTATTCGTATAGTTACATGATCGCAGTAAAGACATGACATGGGTACATGCGAGGTAAGCCCAGAGACGGCTACATATGTAAGAATTCACACATATCATATTCTGCATACGTTCGGCTGTAAATTCGAGTAGGTATATGTAACACCTAACCCATCTCGTATACGTACACGGCGGCATACAAGTTTTAAATTGGCATACCTTAGGCATATAAGAAGTTGGGCTACTCGACGACATTTATCGGCGGCCCTTTTCCGGCCTTGCCGCAAGGGAGCCCGGGACAGCGGGCCAGTATTTTCAGTATTATACCTGCCCTTCTAGCCTAACATACGTGGACAATGAACAACAAACACATTGGGCCTCGTCGCTGCTGACATTCTCTCGCAGCTCTCGGGTCTATCAGGTATGAGGTATGTACAAGAATTTAATCTGACCTTGCCCCTTTGCTTCAGTCTTGAAAGCAGTCCTCATGTCTCTCCTATATATACCTTGAGTAGGCATGTATGTTTCTCCTGAAGCTGCTGAGACATCCAAGACACTGAAAACATATAAAGAATGCAACCAGGACGGTGGGCAAAAATCACGTCCAGATGACGAGGTCATTGGGGTGGCGAAAAGCACCCAGAAACGGTCATGTAGCGCTGTGGCATGGCTCCGCGCCCTCAGGATCGGGTCCGTATTTGAACTGTATTCGGTATGTCGAGGCATAATTACGTCGCCCCCCCCCCCCCCCCCCCCCTTTTCGAACGCTCTCATGTTTCCCTTCTTCCCCTCCTGCCCTCCAGAACATGCGCGCAGCTTAAGTAACGCCCACGTTGGTATGAAATCATACCCTGCCAGATACTACACAGATCGAGGGGTTCTTGACACCAAGTCCTCGCTACCAAATCTGCGACTTGTAGATATCAGTCAGCCAACATCTGGGTCACCCACGGTTCACTTCTCTTCCGTGCGCTTTCGCCTGGGTAAATTCGCTTATAACCCTCAGGTTCCCGGCCGCGGATATATCGCACATAACTGCCCGAGCTGCCCCAGGTAAGCCAAGGTAGAGATAGGTAACAATGGATAGGAGTGACGGTGTAGAATCCTGTCAAGCGTCGAGATTACCGGCTCCCATGCACCCAGGCAGCCAGGGCACCTCTGTATGCAGATAGGCCTTATCTTACCGACGGACACAGGCATAAGCAGCGCCTCTACCAGCCCTTTGCTGATCAACACATCCTTCACGATACCCTAGACCCCTTGGCTCCAGCAAAGGCTTCTTCACCTCTTTTTTTTTTTTTCCTTCTCGGATCCCGTCTGGCGATCCCATGTAGATCTGACGTACGCACGCTTACACATGTCAAGCTTGCCAAAAATTGATTTCACGGACCGTAGGAGGATCATACGTGCCTGGTAGAAACTGCATGTCGGTGTAACAGTGTTCGTCTTACGGGGTTATTTTGTACCTGGCACAGAAAAAAAGGGAAGGGAAAAATGACTTTTTTTTTTACCCCTCCAAAACTTTTATTTCTTAACCCGACCCCGGACCAAATCTAGCCGGATAGATACCCGTCACGGCTTCGACCGAATGTATCTCAGACACGAGTGAGGCAGAGTGAAGATGTAATTTAGCGCCGGCAAAGCTGAGACTGCTCTCTTGCAATTGATGAAAGGAGGACGGAGCAGCCAGGGGCCGTAATAGATCTTACTTGTTCATCTTTCATCCTAATCCTGTAGTGCTCCTTGTTTCCTGGAATTCATGAAACCGTCATGGCTCGACTCTTCCCCTGTCCGATACGCGATACGCAGTACCCATGACCCAGATAAGATGGGTACAACGGGCATCCTAAGATGTTCTATATCTTGTCTTTATAAAATACATCGCTCCCGGAACTGGTCTAACAAAGACCAACCAATGATGGCATCGTCATTATCACCACGGTTCATCTCATAATATCTACCCCTGGAAACGCCGAGCGTCAAGTCGATCTATCCATCTATATCCCGCGGTTGAACACGACCAAGCCGCCGTCGCCGCCGCCGCCGTGGAACTCGTCCTCGAGGCTGTCGGCGCTGATCTTCTGGCGCTGGGGGAAGGCGGCGAGGGCGAGGGGGAGGGCGAGGTAGCTCATGCCGAGGATGAGTGCGAGGTTGACGGGGGTGGTGTAGCGGGGGTTGCGGCGGAGCCAGTCGGTGCGCTGGAGGCGGACGAGCAGCAGCGGCGGCACCACCATGATGGGGCTGCTGTTGAAGACGCGGCTGGCGGCCGTCTCGCTGACGGCCAGCGTCGCCGCCTTGCGGCTCTTGCCGAGGCTCTGCGCCTCGTCCTCGGGCCGCCCCTCCTTGGCCCGCTGCGCCCGGTCCGCCGCCGACAGCACCGGGAACACGTCGATGCCCGTCCGCATCTCCTCGCCCCGCATCAGGAACACGTTGAGCGCTCCCGCCGACGCCACCGCCGCGAACGGTACCAGCCGCCCCAGCACCAGCCGCGTCGACGGCGAGAACCGCTTCAGGTGCGACACCGCCGCGTTGAGCCCCACCGCCACCGAGCACGACGCGCCCACGGCCAGGACGTACGACTGCGCGATCTTGGAGTACGAGAGCGGCTGCGACTTGTTCGCGTTCGAGTAGTTGATGGCGACGTTGAGGGACTGGTTCGTGATCTGCCAGAGGACGGTGCCCGTCGTCTGTTGTTTGCCAGCGAGGTCAGTAAGCCGTCCATGAGATGCTCTATGAATGGAGCTATAAGGCGAGAGGTGATACCTTTAGACCTGGTGTGAGCATGCCCGCCGTAACGACCAGGTTCGACAGCACGAAGCAGGACATGCGGAAGGGCAAGAGAACGGGCTCTCCGGTATCTAGCGGGCCAAGTTAGCTTGGCCGGCCAGATCAAGAGCCATAGGTCAAGTTTCTCATGCCACCATACCGGGATGTAATGTCGAGTCGACAACCTTCTTGGCCTGCCATAGCTGCGGAGTCATGTCCTTGATTTCGCCTTGCTTGTACCGCACCAACAGCTTCTTAGCTTCCTCGAGGCCATGCTTTCCTACGAAGAGGGTCCTATCATTTGGTTGTTCGCGTTAGAGAAGCTCGACAGTGACCGAAAGAGAATGCGATAGTAGCATAGCATCATTACCTTGGATCTGTGATCCCAGCCGTTTGCCTCACGCGGCCCCAGTACGTGCTGAGGTCGTACTGCGACTCGGGCAGCTGTCGATTTCCCGGCAAAGAGGCGGACATGGCGAACGACACAGTTTCTTATGGTATCTCGAGTCTTCGGGCTTTTCACTCGACTACGTCCACTGCCTGCAACAATGGTAAGGAATGGACGGCTGGTCCTACCAGCCTAAGTAGGAGACTGTCTAGCAGAAGCACGCCAACCACGCGGTTGCCCTAAGACCTGACTCAGAATGGACAGGAAATCTTTGTCTGCCGCGAGTGTAAATCAAAAGCAGTTGTAAGCAGATAGCTTGTCAGTGGGCCGATCTCGGTCATCCTCGATAACACAACAGGTGGGGGTTCTGACTTGGGAAGGGAAGAGAGAAAAAATTAGAAAAAGAAAATATTTAATAGGTCCAAATAATGGGATGACAACGGAAGTTGGAGCTCAGAGAAATAAAAAGGAAAGTAGAAAAAGGAAGTCAATCGAGCACAGCAGGGATCGAACCTGCAATCTTTAGAGATTGATGTAGAACCGAAATCTAACGCCTTACCATTAGGCCATGCGCCCTTAGCGCGGTGTCGGGCCGCTTTGATTAGAGGACTGCTATTATACACTATAGCCTACCTAGATGACCACCGCCCATCCAATTACGTGACCGATGACTTCCTACTGCACATTAGCACTGGCAAAGAATGTGCATATATCAAGTATTGAGCATGGTTATGTTTGGAATTGTCTAAAGGTCTTGCAGCTTGTGTGTTTTCGAGCCTCTCATATAGTACGATCTGACTCGACCTGCTAGAGAGCAATATGCTCACCACTCAAGCAACATGGCGTAGATTCAACAAGGAAAAAAAGAGACCAACAGTATCTCATATCGTTAATGGATTTTACGCAAGGTGTAAGACATACTGCCTTGCATGTAAGTTGAAGCACTACTAGAGTGCCGCAATGCCTAGACTCACATCAATTCACGGCACTTCGTGTCCCCCTATCCTAGTTCTAAGATGTGGAGGGTATGCCATATACCATGGTAGAGCATATAGCGTTAGGGCGGAAGTTGGCGGTATTCACATGGCTGAAATATGGAAAACTTGCCGGCAGGAAATGCCGCATTACGGGATCTTGCTAAGCTGGACTTGTTGAGAAGCATGGCAAAGCGCAAGCGTAAGTCTCTACCCAAGGCAAGCAGGTAATCATAATAGTAAAAGACCGTCGTCATTATCCAACTATGCTTGCTTCTAGACCTGACATCTATATACCTTGCCAGCGGTCAGGTGGCGTCTATCAATCGTGACGTCGGACCTCCCAGGTCACAAGCCGTCTACGGCGTCTTCGACTTCTTCCAGTCGTCGAAGCCCCTCAGCCACTTCTGGACGGTCCGGATCTGCCACAGGTGGGCCTCGCGGATGAACTGGGGCTCGGCCTCGACGTCGAGGATGCCGTACGAGTCCCAGTGGTGGCCCGAGCCGGTGATGAGGTACTGCGGGTGCAGGTCCGTCGACTCGGTCCGCGGCGGCGCGAAGTTTGAGTGGTAGCACAGGTCGTTCCACACGTCCTGGTCCCCGTCGATGAACGCCAGCCGGTCGGCGCTGAAGTTGAACCCGCCGAAGCTGTTGTACGCCGTCGGGTCCGGGCTCGGCGGGATCGAGTTGGTCTGACCGGCCGGGAACGCCCAGGTACACCACTGCTGCTCGTAGCTCGTGTCTATCACGCGGGATAGCAGAGCTGGGCCTTCCTTTGGCGAGTCGATATACGCCCCCTGCGGAGTTTATAGGTGAGTTCATGTCCAAGTACAGTAGCATTCTCAGGGGAACCTTACCTGCTCTATGCAGCTTGTGTAGATGTATGAGCGCCTGAGGCTGTTTGTTGTATCAGCCCAGGCTGATGCGTTCTGAGTTCCCTAGTGAACGGGTCAGTTGATAGTTGGCTTAAAGGAACTCAATAGCTAAATCGGAATTCAACCATATACGTCAAACGACGTGAAATGTCACTCACCCAACAATCAAGACTGTTATAGTCCCCCGAAGCACAGTTTGGAAGAGTATAAGTCTTGACGTAATTAGCATAGCTACCGAGACCACTGTATACAAGGGCGTTAGCAAGTGGCTCGAGCTCAAAGATAGAGGAGAATGAAAGTTTAGGTCAGAAGTCGTTGGCTCTATCATTAGCCATAAGCCTGTAGACCTAAAGGCATAGAAAGCTTGAAAGGGGATCTGTAAACGTACACCCAAGGAACCCCATTGGTATAGTTCGCAAACATATAGTCAACCTCGGTTATCTCCTCCGGTGCGTTAATGTCGGTGACGTTTCCACAAAAGTAGAAGAAGTCCCTGGATCCGTAGGCAGGGTCCCAATTCAGCTCTTGCCAGGTAGAAGATAGGTAGAACCCTGGGTTTCCGATAGGATCCTGAGATCGGGATTAGTAAAGCAAGGAGAGAGCTTCAAGGTACAACTCACCGCCATGGCAGCAGCAAAGTCGCGGTCATCTGTTAGAACTTCAAGCCCGAAGAGAGCTTTGAACTCCTTGACTGCTGAGGTCAGGTTGCTGGCAAGGAGAAGATCGTAATTGTCGACGATGCCATTAATTTTTGTAACACAGTCCTGAGGGGCGTATTTCTGGATGGGATTGTACCACTCGGGATAGCCAACGGGCACATTGATCGGAGCCGATGCGGCGATGCCGGCATAGAGTACGTCTCCGTGGGCCTTGACGGAAAAGGCAGTCTGAGCTCCGGCTAGACTGCCCCCGTACAATATCCAAGGAGTGCCGGGAGCCGTAAGATCTCCATCGATCCCTGGAAACACGGCGTTCTGAGCGAAGTAGGCATTGTCAGCTATCGTCTGATTCGTGGTGAGAAACAGAAGCTCGTCCGTGGTGCTGGAGTTGAAAGGGTATGATTCCCCATAGTAACGGTTCTCGAGAATGACACCTTCAAAGTTCATCAGTTCGGGTTCCATCATTTTTCGGTTTCTCTATCCGCCTCTCCCTCCTCCTTCACTTTATTTGCCCATTCGTCACTGGTGTCATACCTAGCCCGTTGGTAGCTTCCATCAGGATCTGAATGTTGCCGGTCTGCAGATTAGAGAACCTGCTCGGGGCGCTGGTCTCTCCTCCAATATAGAGGTATACTGGCCCGCCTATGAGACATGTTAGTGTGGTCATGTATGACGCGCGGGGACTTGTGATGGTTGACCTGGCTTATAATACGTGTCGTCGAAGTAATACCGCTGGGTGAAAGTGCCATGGCTCAGGTTGGACTTGGCGTATATTTCCGAGTCGGGAAAATGGTTGATCTTCTGCTGGAAGTAGTTGGCATCGTACTGAAGCTGGTCTCGAGGCACGTCTTGTCTTGTTTGCAGTGCTTCGATGCCGCGGGAAAGGCCGGCTACGAGGCCAACCGACTGCCAACACAGCTTCATGGCTCGAGATGGGACAGCGCAGGGCTAGCTGAGGTGAGAGCAACGAGTCAAGGCTGCGAGCTGTCTACGTATTATAAGACGAGCGATGACTCTGAGAGTGCGGTGAGATCTGGGAATAAGCATCATGATGCTCGATCTAGTCGCAGAGCCCGCTGAATAGGGTAAAGGCCAGCGCAGGTACTGACCAAGTTAGGAAGGTAGCGATAGTAGAGAACCACTTTGCCGACGATGTCGACATGCTATCGGGAGATCAGATAGGCTCGATAGGGTATAAAAGACGCGATGTCGTACAAAATAGCCAATTATTCCCGCGGCGTACATAAATGTATGTCCTTTTCCTTCTTTTTTTTCCTTGCCTCACCGCAGTCCGTTCTTTTTTGTCCGCGAATCAGCGGGGTTATTGCGTAATATCAGCATTTGATTTCTTCACCAGTCTGGGATCCGGCTCGAGATAAATACCTCTGCCTCTCCGGCAGTTATTTCAGCAACTTCACGATGTATACTACTTGAAATTGACAATGTTATACGATGCTTACCTAGCCCCCTGGCCTGACTACCATATTGCCAAGAGACTCGAGTCCAAGTGCCTCATAGTCCTGGTGCAGTTGTCTCATCGTTCGTTCGAGTTACCGTGTCTACTACCGCCTTCCCATGTCGTCCAAGTCCAGGAGACGTACACTTCGCTTGCGGGAATCAGGATTGATATGCTTCATATTGGAATATGGAAGCCAAAGATAAGCTGCGGCCAGAAAGTGAACTCTTTACGACATGTCCTGCCCCGTCTAGAATCTACCTCTACACAGATACAGATAGTAAACTGGGCCGTGATGACGGAGTTTGCGGGGCCTTCATTTCGAATTACTCGAACGGGACTGGAATTGGGGTTTGGGGTTGGGGGCGGAAAGAGTCTAAACTGCATCCTGCAAGCCTAATAAGCGAGAAGTGAGCGAGAAGCGCGCGAGGGCAAGGCAGACCGGGTGGCCCTGCAAGTTACTGCTGCACGATACGTATAGGTAGGTAGTAGCTGCCGGTGGCTTACAAGTCACAGCCCACCATCCACCCCGTCTGCCCGTGATTTCGACATCTTGTTCTCTCTTCGCTTCTTCGCTTCTTCGCCCCGCAGGACGTTGGAGAATGCTACCCCGAGTCGTGACTCGTGTAACACGAACGCGACAGCGTCATCAAACCTTCCGACTTCACAGCTGATGCCCTATCACCGACAGAGTACACGCGGTCCTGTCGCCACATGCGTGGCCTTGCTCCCCGGCAGCCTCAAGATTGCGCGGCGGGCCCGACGGCAGCACGGACGCTCGGCGGTGTGCAGGGAAGCGTGCGATTTGGAATTCTGATGCTACCTCACAAGACGCTATGTGGCCCATGTGGCCTGTGCGTGTATAGCCCCATACCGCAGCAGCGGCGGCGCTAGAGCGCCGGAGAGTGGCATCGTCTGAGCTCGTGGCGGTTAGACAGCAAGGCTGGCGATAGTCAAGACGATGTTCACATCCTATGAGGCTCACTACGGTATGTTTATTCCTTCCAGCGTTCTTGGCACGGTAGGGTGGTGAGTAGTTAGATTGGTTGAGCAAAAGTTCCCCTCAGCTTTGTCGCGCACATTTAGTAAACCCGCGCTGTCAGCCTGCCCAATTCTGCGGCTACGAGCCCGTCCAGTAAAGCTCCGATCTGAGTCCTACCCGATCGACGGGATCTAAGAAAGGATCTCTGACGCACACTGCCGAGCTCGCAATCTTCTTCCTAGATAGGCAACCCACGCGGAATTATTTCCACCGGCGCGGTACCGAGCAAGACGCGGCCCTCCGAAGACACACAACCACGAGGGACCTCATGCCTTTAGGCCTTGATACGATTCTCTGGCCTATCTATCTACCTACGTAGGTTGGGTGCTTGTAGCCTTTTGAAACTGTCAGCACTTGAGCAGTCAAAGGATACTAAGAATGGTCTAGCAGCCAAGGGATAACAAGAACGGTATGCGCTTGAGCCGAGAATTGCATCCGCTATAACTTCAAGTACCTCGCTGCTCAAGCAGCATTCAAGCGCTCGGAAGGCTGAATCTAGGACGAAGGAATGGCCCATGGAAGAACGATAGCAAAGTTCTATGAGGAGTTGGCTGTGGAAGACTAACAGCA